ATATCTACCAGTGTCATGTTTTAGGCCTGACCTTACCAGTGTTCATGAAGTCCAATGTAAGAAAGAGCAGCAACATCTGATGGTTTAACTTTGTCCGCTTGAGTGAGGAAATGAGAAGAAAAATATACATTTAATTTTGCTAAACAGACTCTGGTGAAGAATTTAAAAAGTCAGTGTGATGTACTGTGAAAGTTGAGTTATCAGCACAACGCATGTTACTTATCGACTAAATATTATGTAGAATTTTGTTGTGCTTTCCAAATATGATTTTCAGGAAAGAACAGAATATTTTTGTGCACAAAGCAGCAGGACATTTATTTACGCCAAAATTTGGAATAGTGCAAAAAACCTGTGTAGTTTCCATTATTTGTCTTGATTGTTTTTATTTAAATGGGTTTGATAAAAGTGTGAATTTGGTGTGTTTGGTTGAACTCACCTGTAGAAGGAGGCTGCTGAGAGGGAAACATCTGAGGGCAGAGCAGTCCTGCTGGTGAAACAAGGATGAGACAAAAAAAAATGAAGCTATAAAATAACTGGAAAAATACATATGATTCTAAAAGCTACAAATGTCTCATTTCGTTATTCGCAGATGACTATAAAAAAGATAATCAGTCAATAATTACATTTCACTAATGTGAATGATAAAACAGTTCTGACCTGTTGTAAAACCCAGCAGGGAGATGAGAAGCAGCTGTTGAAGCATCCTCTCTGATTTTTCCCTCTGGGCACCTGCTGCTTTCTGCTTTCAACTGTCTTTGTCATTATCAGCTAAACCTGAACACTTCAAATACCATAAATCCTCATAAAGAGGAGGGAACAACTGATTTGTTCAAAGGACACGGCACTGAGGTTTCAGGTTGATAAGAGCTGAATGAAACTTTCACTGAGTAAAATTCTGATTCTGGAGAGTCGGATTTCAGGTGGTGCCTTATCTTAACTTTTACTTTTTACCATCATACATCCAAACTTTATAACAAAGTTTAAAAAGGCACCAGGTTTGTTAAGTATGCCTGATGCAAACTGTTGAGGTGCAAAATGAGGGAACTCTGCTGGAGTTAGAAAGCCAAAAAACAAAACGGTGAAGTGACGCAACTCAGACTTAAAATATGTCTGCACATTGTTACAAAGCTATAAATATTTTACACACTGTAGACTATATTTCATCATTTATTTCATCATTTATTGGCTTCATTGAGACATTATTGGTCCATCAACATCAGGTTCTTATATAAAATCAAGAAGCAACACTTAGTGAGCTTTATCTGTTGAATCACTTCCTGGAAACAGAGTGATGGAACAGCACGGTTCAGTGGGGTAAGATTATCTTGGTGAGCTTAAAAAGCTGTGAAAATATGGAGCTAAATTGGGGTCATAAGTTTTGTTCAAAATAAAAAAAATTGAACCTGAAAAAAAGAGATTTGAAACTGAAAAATATTTTTGAAACTGGAAAAAAAATTGAATCTGAAAAATAACTTTGAAACTGAAAAACAATTTTGAAACTGAAAAAAATATTTGAAACTGAAAAAAATAATTTTTTTGAAACTAAAAAAAAAATTTGAAACTGAAAAGACAAGATGTTTGAAACTTTTCCAGATTGTAATGCATTGTTTTTCAGTTTCAAAGTTATTTTTCAGTTTCAATTTTTTTTCAGTTTCAATTTTTTTTAAAATTTTGAACAAACCTTATGACCCCAATTTAGCTCCATAGAAAAACATTATGAACAGTTGATCAAAAGTGTTCCACAATCAGTGGACCACTAATAATCTGGAAACAGGGTGGAAAAATTAAAGTGAAAACTTTTTATTCCTGCCTCGCCCACTCACACCTGTTCTCTGTTTCATTAAGCACACAGTCCCTGATCTTCCTGTCCTGATAATTCCTCAGCTTCACCTCACTCATTTCAGGACTGAGACGTCCTCTAAATGTGTTATTGCCTCAAGTGATCCTGATATTACAGTTGTACCGCCTTTATGGTCCTTTATCTTCTGCCAAGGACAAAAGCTCAGTCTGAACCTCCTGATGAAGCACTCTGCCGTTTATCTCATCTGTGATAATCTCTGAACAGATAAAATGACCTCAGTCGTATTTCTGCATTTAGCCACAAATGGTCTGGATGATTTGCTTTAAAGCACCAGAGGTTTTTATTTTTCACCACAACATGGGATTTTATCAGAGACATCACAAGCCTCTCACAAGTTTACATGACTTAATTACAGGCAGAAGAAGAAAAATTAACCCTTCAGTCAAATATTCCTGCTTGTTGCATAACTTATGATAAAATAAATATTATCTTGAAGTTAACCTAAAAGTGAATCTATCTGGTAAGTTTCATGTACATTTTCAGGTAAATCACCTTATCTTGAACAAAGTTACCACAAAAATAAAATCACAAGTATGATGTTCCCTCTTGTGTAAATGAGCAAGTATTAGACAGTATTCAATTTTAAATAATTTATTTGTATTAGAAACATGTTAGAGCAATTATTTTTCTTCTATTTATCTTGAACTAACCACAACTTCACATGCTGTACTTTTTCTTTTTCTGTTTATATGCAAGGTTGAGGCCAACCTCTTGTCGCACATGTGGCAAATCTTGCTGACCAATCAGTCGTCCGCACTGCATTTACGTCACATCTGCGCTCTCTCCAATTGGTCAAATTTTGAGCCAATGGTATCAAGCGAGCAAGGGATATCACGGAAACGATCTCGCTTGTGTTTTAAAATAAAACAACTAACCCGATAATGTCTGTTCATTGTTGCAAATAATTGACAGAAAACTAAAATTTAAGAAGCTAACACACTCTTTTTAACAATTCAATGTATTTTAGGTTAAAAAAGCAACGTAATTAGATGAGATATTGACATATTCAACTCCATGTTCAGGTTTTGATTTTATTTTGAAAGTCTCAAACGGAAGCTAACGTTTTCGCCTTATCTTGGCTGTGTCCAAAACGGCAGGACGGGTCCTCCGAAGGTCGAATTTGTCGGCCGCATACGTCATAGCGCCGCGACGAAGGACGTCCAAAACGGAAGACTCCTCCGATGCGGCTGACAAATACGTCCTTCCTTTTCCCCGATTTGAAGGACAGTTCTGATGAATCCTTCCAGGCCCAGCATATCCCATAATGCATTGCGGCCCGACCGGAGATTCTTTTTTTTTTTCTTGTAATGGCGGACGAAACGAGAGTCGAAGCGATGGAGGAG